AGCCCCCCGCCCCCCCCCCCGAGCCCCACCGCTGGGGTGCCGGGGGTGGGGGGACACCCTCGGGGTGCTGCGCTAGGAGAGTGCTTGGTTTTAATTAAAACTCTCCCTCTGATCCTGCCCTGGCTCGCTGCATCCCCTGCTCTGCCAGCTTAATCCATGGGCTGCTTCCAGCCAAACTTGACAGAGGAGTCCGGAGCGCCCCAATCTCCTACTTCTTGCCTAAAAGCAATGAACCTCCAAAAAATTAAATTATAATATATTGCATAAGGCATCTCTTCCCCCTTCCCAGAGAGGGGCAAGGCCTGGGGCAGCCCAGCTCTCTAAGAGCCCCGGGAGCTGCGGAGCACATCCCTGTGCTGGGAGAAAGCTGCTGTCTGCCCTTGTGCTGCCCGGGTTGGGGGTCCCCCGGCCCTGGGGCACGGGCTGGCTGCGTCCCTGGCTCTGTCCTGGCGCACAGCAGGCGGCCCCAGGGGCTCCCTCCCTGTTGAAAAGGGGGAAACTGAGGCACGCAGTGTCCCCACTTACCCTGGGTGGCAGCAGGCGCCCGGGATGGCTCCCGGTGGTGGGTGGGTGTCCCCAGGCTGGGCTTGGCAGCAGGGCTGGGAGGCTTGGGGTCCCGGCAGAGCCTGGTTGCGGGGCTCACGTCTGTCTCGGCATCCGATCCACTCCAGCCCGAGGTCCGGCTGTGCCGTGGTGTTCCCCAGGTACGGGGGGCTCCCCGGGGCCGGGCGGGCTACGTGGGCTAAAAAAGGGGGCGAGAACTTTTTTTAGGTTTTTTTTTTTTTTTTTTTTTCCCTCCCCTTCTTAAGCTGATTATTCTGTTCCTCTTCCAAATTGGAAGCAGAAACTGAAATTTCCCATGAAACAAATTCTGCCACCGCCTTCTCCCTTGGGGGGAAGAAAAAGAAAATGAAAATTTCAATTAAAACCATTAGAAGTCTCTGAAATGAAAACCGGGGCGAACTGAAGCTGCTTGTGCTTAGCTGGTCGGCTTGGGCTGCGCGTGGCTGGTGGCTCTGGCTGGGGGGTGACGTTTTGGGGGGGCCATAGGGGAAGGTGTCATGCTGTGGGTGCAGGGGTGGCCGTGTCCCCGGCTCTCCCCTCACTTCAAGATGCTCTTTTCCTTCCACTTTCACTTCCAGCAGTGGTTGGTGTAAGAGGGGAAAGAGCATTTTGCTGCTGCGCGCACCAGGAGCATCACAGCACAGCTCGGTGCCCTCCAAGCTCTCCGCTGTCTCCCCCAAGGGACCCTTGTCCTGCTGCGGCGGTGCTCGGGGGGTGGCTTCTATGGGACCCCCACCCTGGGGGTAAAGGGGTGCTGGGGATGGATGGAGCATGGCAGGGTGCTGCTCCCTGGGGAGATGAAGCCTCGGAAGGGGAAGGCGCCCCAAGCCGGTGTAACCTGAGGCGCAGGAGGAATTTGTCGGGGCTGGGGGAGAGGGGAAAGCCTTGCCTGAAACAATAAAAGGAGCCCGATGACTTTGCCAATGTTATTCTGAGCTGGGAAAATATTATTGCAGGGCAAGAATAGAAGGAGACGACAGTGTTTTCCTGGGCTGGGCCCGTTGATACGGGAGGACCTGAGATGCTGGGAGGGCACGGGGAGGAGGGTACCCCTGGGGAGATGAGGTTGGAGGGGCCCCTGGTGCCAGCTCTGCTTGCAGGCACAGCGGTCTTCCCAGTAAGGATGGAGGTGCTGGGGGCTGTATCCCTCCATGCCACCAGCATCACCAGTTAGGGCACTGGGACTGCCCTTGAGTGACTTGGCAGGGATGGGAGCTGTATGTGATGGGATGAAGGCGGCAGTACTCCCCCCTGGGGATGGACCCTGCCTCCTTTCAAGTCCCAGAAGAGGCATTTCCCACTAGGATGGGGGGCATTGTGCCACTGGCCACCTCCTCACTGGAGGTGACAAATGTCCCCCCAGCAAGAGCAGGGCTCGGTACCCCAGTGTCCTGGGCTGCTGGCAGCTGGGCTTGTCCCAGCACTGCCTCCTCTCTCATGGGGATGTGCGTGGGGGACGCTCAGGCTGGGGGTTTCCCTGGGGTCAGCAGTGATGGCCGGCAGCCTTCCCCGGCGGAGGGTGTCTGGGGACATGGCTGCGCTTATCAATGGCACTTTGTCTTCCTCCTCCTCCACCCGGCGGTTGCAGTGGCGTGGCCCGGGTTCGGGGCGGTCGCTGGGACAGGGTTTCAAAGCCCACTGAAGCTGAGCCGCTCCCTCTCACCCTCTCCCTCTGCGGCAGCTGGGTGGGCGCCACCATGCCGGGATTTTCGGCTCGCTGACCCTGAAAGTCATTTCCCACCAGGAGCCAGTCGCGTCACTGCCCCCGCAGTGGCGTCACCGTGAGGGTCCCCTCAGTGTCCCATGGAATTCGGGCTTGGACTTGCTTTGGGAGACTTGACCATCAGACCCTGTTGCTTTGGGATCTGATGCCCATCTCAGGGATGCAGTGTCCTTGTGCTGGGGCTTTTCCCCAGGCTCCATCCCCGTGCTGGGGTGAGGAGGAAGCCTACCCGACAGCAAGGTCTGGTGGCGGTTTCGGGCTTTGTGTGCCGGTTTCCCCGTGGCGCTGGCTGGCTGCCTGCTATTGTGTCCCCAGCCGGCACCCGGGGCGGGCAGGACCCGCTTTCTGCCCACCCCGTGGCCCCTCTCGCCACGGTCCCTTGCTCTGCGCGAGCCCAGCTTGGGGCTGACAGCAGCTTTGCCAGGTTCTCGTACACCCCGACTCAATGCGGCACGGCTGTGGTAGGAGCCCGGGGTGGTTCAAACGAAGCTTGCTGAGGACAAACTTGCCTGGGACCCTGCTGCCCACTGGCTCTGTGATTTTGCCCTTGAGCAGGGTGAGGCCGGGATGTCTGCGCCTCTGGGAAGGGATGCAGATGGATGCTGCTGCCCGCAGTGGTGGGAAGCAGCTCTTCCGCTGGCCCCGGGGAGGCTCTGCGATACTCCGAAGCAGCAGCTCAGAGGGCCTCTCCTGCCTCTGCACCCATCGCAGCCCTCTGGTCTTCCCTGAAAAAGCCAGGACTCCTTGGTGCCACCACCAGGCTGGGGGTCCGACCATCCTTTCACATCCCCGAGCAGCTGTGAAGGGTGTTGGGAGGCTGGGAGCCCCCACGGCACCCCTCTCCGTTTTTCCTTGCTGCGATGCCCCTTTGCTGCAGCATCCTCCGACGGCCGGGCCCCGGCTGGGGGGCGTCCCGGGGGTGTGTGAGGGCACTTAGCTGTGGGACATAATGCATCGCTTTTCCCTCCTGTCCTCACGTTGGGTGACAGCTCAGGGCCACCGGGCTGTGCTGTCCCGGTGGGGTGGGCTGTGGGCTAGTGTCTGGGGTAGCCCAGCGTGCGCAGCAAATGGAGGGAGGTGGTGGGGGCTGCCAGGGAGCGGAACACCCCCCGGGCTCGAGGCGAACGCTTGTGCCCATGGCTGGGAGGGGACATTTGGGGCAAGCGGTGCTTATGACGCCCTATGGGTCTTTGGGGTTGGGATGGCTCATCCTGATGTTTCCCTCCCTCCCTTGCAGAGCTTTTGAGCACCAACCGCTCCGTCCTCTTCTTTGGCCACCGTGGCTTCCTGGGCTTCCGCTCCCTCTACCTGGATGAGTACCGTGACCGGCTCTTCATCGGGGGGAAGGATGTGCTCTACTCCCTGCTCCTGGACGGGGCCAGCGCAGACGCCAAGGAGGTGAGCACCCCGGGGTCTCCATCCCCACCCTGGCCCCCCACCCACTTCTCGCCCCTCTGAATGATGGTGCCCGGCCAAGCCAGGCGAAGCCACCCTGAAGCAAGACCTGCCCTGGAGATGTCCCAGTCCCAAGCGCCCTGAAATGCATCTGAAAACTTGTGCTGCTTGGCAAAGGAGGGCTGGCTATTGTGGCAGCAGGGCAATTAGCCAGCAATTAGTCGTGACTGGTACAGCCCTCCCCGTGAGCCCTGGGTGCTGAGTGCGGTCTCAGACCCCGCTGTCCTAAAAAGCTGCCACCAGGAGAGAGAGTGGTCCCCATCCCCATCCAGGCATCCCCTTCAGGGCCAAATATACAGCTGAATGCCTGCAGAGACAAGGAGCTAAAAGCAGCCATCACCGCAACGAGCTGTGCCAGGGCTCAGCTGGCAAAGCCCCCAGACCTCTCCCGGCTCCTCGGCAGCAGAGGAGACAGACCAGAGCAATGATGCCGGGTGGTGGCTCCCCTCCTCCTTCACCCTCTCCGCTTTGACTTCTTGTTCTTTAAACACGGCTCTGGGTGGTTTCTAGCTGAAGAAAGTGGAGAAGGAAATGAAGTGCCCCTCGGCGTGCTGGGTCACCGCAACGGGGTCAAGGGCTTGTGTACCCAACCTGCCCTTGGTCCGAGAGCCGCTGAAGGCTGTGGGGCACTCGAGCTCCATCGCTCCCCGCTGTCCCCTGGCACCCTTGCCCCAGGCCACCCGTGAGTCCACCCCCTTCCAGCCCAGATCCGGCCACCCCCAGCGGGACCACCCGAATCCAGCCCGGCTGCAGGCTGTGACTGCTGGGGCATCTCCCCAGGAGGAAGGGTCCTGCCCCGGGTCACAGGGTGGGAGCTCTGGGCTGGGTGGGCTCTGGGGAGCTGTTGGTCCCTCTCTCCATCACCATGCCATGGGCAGCCTGGGGACGTGTATGTGCAAGGCTGGGTCCCTGCTGTCCCCCCTCCCTGCTCCAGCGGGTCCTTTGTGTTTCAGATCTACTGGCCGCCCCTCCCTGGGCAGACGGAGGAGTGTTTTCGGAAGGGGAAGGACCCGGGGGTGAGTCTGTGCTCATACATGCTCTGCCCTGACCTGGGGGTGTCCCCTTGTGCCCCGGTGCCAGCTGGCTCCCCACATGCCGGGGCTGCGCTGTGTCACCCCGCCGGAGATGACCCATGGGGCTCGCAGGACAGTTAATGCTGGGGCAGAGCAAGGGACCATCCCAGTGTATGAGGGGAAACTGAGGCAGGGAGTCGCCAACCAAGCCTGGCCACGTGGGACGCTTGAACCGGGATCTGGAAATCTCCTCTCCGGGGCTCTGCTCAGCCCCGCGGTCGCAGAGCGGTGACCAGTGTGCCCCAAAGGCGGCTGCACCGAGCAGGCAGCGATAGCCGGGCTTGGAGATCCGAGCTGGGAGGAACCGAAAGCCCCGTGCTGTGCTCCGGACCCCAGCGACGTGGTGTGGCCCATCCTGGCTGTCCCCGACGGTGGGAAATCTGTAGCTTGCTGAGGTTCCGTGACCTCGCTCCCCAAACCTCACCCTTCTTTGCATCCCCCCCTGCCCCGATATGAAACAGGACTATGGCGGGGAGAAAGTCCCCGAGGCTGCCCTGGCCCAGACGAATTGCTCCCGGGAGTCCCCGTCCCTCTCTGCGTGTTTATTTTACAAGCTCTCACCGACAGATCCAAGCCAGGGCAGGCTCAATTTTTTATTTTTCTTGAACGTGTACGTATATATATATATATATTTAACTTGCTATTTTAGAGGCTCTTTGCAAAGGGAAAATAAACAGCGGGGAGGCTGGGAACCCCCGGGGCAGCTCGGTGGCGGTGTTCCCAGCAGACGAGGGGCCTCACGTCCCGCCGGGGGGGGGAAGGAAAGATGGGGGGCAGGCAGGGCTGGCGCTGGATGGGCTGAGCTGCTGAGCTAATGGTGGCGGTGCCCAAGCAGGAGAAGGATGGGAGCCCTTTTCCAGTGGGAACTGCCAGGAGAGACCACACAAGGTGAGAGGTGGCAGGTCTCTGGTCTGGGGGTGTCATTGCTACTGGTCCCGGTAGAAGGGGACAATCCCAGACAGTAGTGATCGGGGCTGTCCTGGAGGCAGCCGAGAATGCCCGTGGGTATCCGTCTCCGTCTCCCATGTTTCCTCCTTTTGTTTCATCCCCGGCGCAAGCAGGAACACGGCAGGGAAGGACATCCCCGCATCTGGTCGTGTGATGGGTGCCGGGCAGAGGAGGGTCCCCAGGGGCTTGGGGCTGGGTGCGGGAGCTGCTGCCGGGACCCTGCTCCCCCGGCTGATGTGGGCTGTGTGATGGGGTGAGCACACGACTGCCCGTGGGCAGGAGATGCCCAGGTGCCGGCTGGGTCACGCGTGGTTCCCCTGGGGATGCTCTCGGTGATGGGAGGACCAGCAAAAAGCCCTGTCCTATTGCGATGGGCTGGGGTCCACGGTGGTGGTGGGTGAAGCACCGAGCCCCCTGTGACCCTGCCCCTCCCCGTGCTGTCCCCCCAGACCGACTGTGCCAACTACATCCGCGTGCTGCACCCCTACAACCGGACACACTTGCTGGTCTGCGGGACGGGCGCCTTCCACCCCGTCTGCGCCTTCGTCTACGTGGGGCAGCGCGGCGAGGTAGGGCAGCACCACGGTGGGGTGCCCATCCTGAGCATCTCTGGCGGGACACCCCTGGGAGGGAGATCCCCATCTTCTTCCTCCTTCCTGGTGGGCTCCGGGACTGCGTGGGGATGCTGGATGCGGTGTTTGCCCCACGCTGAATACCTGGGGTGCGGTGGGGAGGGGGGCAGGAACCAGCTCCCTGTTGCCCCTTTGCCCTTGCGCTGCCCCCTCCCCACCTCTCCCACCTTTCTGGCCTGGCATCACCTTTCCAGAGGTGTCCCCTGAGGCTGGTGTCCTGCCAGGGGCTGCGGCGGGGGTGGCGTTCCCTCCTTTCCCTGCCCGCTGCTCATAAACCAGGTGGGATGGGGTGGAAATGCAGAGCCCCCCGTTCCCTCCTCGCAGCCTGGTGCCGTGTGGGCAGCGGGAGGGAGCCCTGCCCGTGCCGTGATGCCTCCTGCCAGGCTGATGGGCGAGCAGTGGGGTTGGCGGGTCCCTCCGGTTACTGTGCATCCTCACAGCATCAGACTCGCCTCAAAAAGCAGGGATGCCGCATCCAGACGGTCCCTTTAGGACCGCTGGGGTTGTGGATGCTTGCAGCAAGGTGCCTGTGAGCTGGGCAGGGACCAGTGCCAGCCCCGGCGTGCCCAAGCACATCCCCGCTGCCCAGGGCATGGTTGGGGGTCACCTGCCTGCTCCCCCTTGCCCAGCACACCTTCAGCCTGGACCCCGACAGCGTGGAGACCGGCCGGGGCAGGTGCCCGCATGAGCCCAGCCGCGCTTTTGCCAGCACCGTCATCGGTGAGTCGTCTTCCTCGGGAGACTGAGAGCCTTTTGGGTGCTGGGACCAGGGACGGTCCCCGTGTCAGCCAGGGCTGGCTCTCAGCCCCGTGGTGGGATGTTTTTGCCAGGCGGGGAGTTGTACACTGGCCTCACCGCAGATTTCTTGGGCCGCGATCCTGGCATCTTCCGCAGCACGGGGACCCGCTCTGCCTTGCGCACTGAGGTGGACCAGCGCTTACTCAATGGTAACGGTTCCCCTGTGCCCTTCCATCCCCGCCCCAGCCGGGCAAATGATGGGGACCGCGAGCCTTGTGGTGGCTGGGGCACCCGCTGGCCACCGTGCAGCATCCCCCATGCCAGGTCTGAGCAGGGAAAGGCACCGGGGCAGCAGGGTCTGGGGGTCGTCTTGGACGGCATCCAGCCCCGGTGTGGTGTGGGGGTCCGGAGGCGGCAGCTGTGCCCTCACCCCACCTGACGTGGCTGAATCTCGCTCGTAGACCCCAAATTTGTGGCAGCCCACTTGATCCCGGACAACGATGACCGGGACAACGACAAAGCCTATTTCTTCTTCACGGAGAAGGTGGTGGAGGCAGACAGCAAGGAGCACGCCATCGTCAGCCGGGTGGCGCGGGTCTGTGTGGTAAGATGCTGGTGGGGACTGCAGGGGACAGGGATGTGCCAAGTCACAGTGGTGGACCTGGTGCTCCCTGTCCCTGCAGAACGATGCTGGAGGCCAGAGGGTGCTGGTCAACAAGTGGAGTACCTTCAACAAAGCCCGGCTAGTGTGCTCCGTCCCTGGCCCTGGTGGCATCGACACCCACTTCGATGAGCTGGGTAAGGGGTGCATGGAGCTGGGGACCTCACCAGGGCTGGGCCCTTTCTTGGGAAGCTCCCGGGCCTCCAGGAGAAACCCCACAGCTTGGGTGTCTCATCTCCAGAGGATGTCTTCTTGCTGAGGACGAGGGATGGGAAAAGCCCAGAGGTTTACGCCCTCTTCAGCACCATCAGGTGGGTGGTCCAGGCCCAGTCTCTGGGGACATCCAGTTGCAGCTGCCCATGACCTGCCCTGTCACTGTCACCATGTGGCTGCTGGCTGTTCCCCGACCTCCACCAGCTCTGCCCTGGTCTGTATGGAGACATCAGTGCTCCCATGCCTCCCACTAATGCCACCGGTCCTCACCCCATTCACCATCCCCTTTCAGCCATGTCTTCCAGGGCTCTGCCATCTGTGTGTACCGCATGGCCGACATCCGGGAGGTCTTCAACGGGCCCTTTGCGCACCGGGAGAGCCCCCACCACCAGTGGGGCCCCTACGAGGGCAAAGTGCCCTACCCACGGCCAGGCGTGGTGAGCGACTCCCTGGACTTCTGGGTCTCCTTTGCTCCTCCGATTGCTCTTCCGGGAGGGGTTGATGGGGCTGATCCTCCATTTTCTCACCTGCTGGGATGGGCTCCCTCTGGGATCCACCCCAGGATGGCTGGGGACCAAGGTCTGGCAAAGGGGTGGAGAAGATGGATCCCAAACTGGAAGGCGGGGAGGAACCCAAACAAAGCTTTGCAGGGCAATGGAGGAGGAAGGAGGGATGGGTGCTGGGGTGGCCGAGCTGAGCTGGCCCCCTCTTGTCCCTGCAGTGTCCCAGCAAGACCACTAACCAGCCCCGGCGGCAGTATGGCACCACCAAGGACTTCCCCGACGAGGTGCTGCACTTCGCCCGCGCTCACCCCCTCATGTACAAGCCCGTGTACCCCCGGCACCGCCGGCCCATCCTTGTGAAGACCGACCTGCCCCACCGCCTGCGCCAGCTTGTGGTGGACCGGGTGGAGGCCGAGGACGGGCAGCACGACGTCCTCTTCCTTGGGACAGGTGAGCAGCAGGAGCAGCGTGCAGGAAGGAGCCCCAGCGCTGGGGCTGCCAGTGGGCGTATCGCTGGGGTGCATGATGGCAGGGCGCTCACACCGCCATCCTCCTCCCCACAGACGCCGGCTCGGTGCTGAAGGTGGTGGTCCTGCAGAAGACAAGCTTGGCCGTGACCGAGGAAGTTGTCCTGGAGGAGCTGCAGGTTTTTAAGGTGCCATTTGTTGCCCTCCACGCAAGGGAGGGGGGCGGCAGGGTGGGCTCACGTTGGGGACATACGTGGGGATGGAGGCTCAGGGCTGTCACTGCACTGTTGGGCACTGGGAGGTCTCAGGGCTGTGACGGCAGAGGGCAGCTGGGGGCTGTTTTCACCCTCCCCAAAAACATTCCCGGTGCCCCTCCAATGCTCTGGCAGCTCTGAATGAGCCGGGCTCTCCGTGGTGAGGTTTTCGCCAACCTCACACCCACTCACCTCCCCTGCAGGCGCCTGTGCCCATCACCCAGATGGAGATCTCCGTCAAGCGGGTGAGTACAGCCACAGCTCGGCCACAGGGTTTGGGACGGGGGAGGTGACCAGGAGGGACTGAGCTGTTGTCACCAGCCTCTCAAAGCTCTCATGGTGCTTGCCCTGAGGGGGGTCCCAGCTGGGGACTCGGGACGCTGTGCCCGTGGGGTCTACCAGCATCAGCATCTCGGTGCCGTTCCCCCAGCAAACGCTCTACGTGGGCTCCAGCCTGGGGGTGGCCCAGGTACGGCTGCATCGGTGCGAGACCTACGGCACTGCTTGTGCTGAATGCTGCCTGGCCAGGGACCCCTACTGCTCCTGGGATGGCACCGCCTGCACCCGCTACCAGCCCTCTGGCAAGCGCCGCTACCGCCGCCAGGACATCCACCATGGCAACCCTGTGAACCAGTGTCTGGACCAGAACCTGACCGGTGAGAGACTGGGGAGGGTCCACGGGGCTGGGGGCTTGTTCAGGTGCCCCAAAATGTCCCAGCATCCACAGCCCTTGGCACACAGAGGGGCTTGCGGCTATCCCAGGTGGGCTGGGGCACCCTCGTCTCCTCATCCCATAGACCAAGGGGTGTCCCAAGAGAAGGTGGGTGCTGCTGGGGCTGGGGTCTGTCCCCAGGGAGAGGGGGAGCAGGGGACTGAAGCCACATGGTGGCCCAGGGGAGGCTGACACCCAGGTGCATGGAAGCCTGGCTCTGCCCTCCCCATGAGCCCGTGTCTGCCTTTGCCCCAGTGGATGATTTTGAGAACGTTGAGGAGAAGGTGCTTTATGGGGCGGAGGACAACAGCACCTTCCTGGAGTGCACACCCCGATCCCCTCAGGCCAGCGTGCAGTGGTTCGTCCAGAGACCTCCCGACGAGCAGCGGGATGAGGTGAGGCTCCCCCTGCGCCTGCCTTGCTCCCCTTGTGAGGGCACGGGAGGGACAAGGGGTCGGACCTGGATCTCCCGCCCCAACCTCACGATGGCCGACAGGTGAAGACGGATGAGCGGATCCTGCAGACGGAGCAAGGGCTGCTCTTCCGCAAGCTGCACCGCCACGACGCCGGCATCTACTACTGCAAGACGCTGGAGCACGGCTTCACCCAGACGGTAGCCAAGACAGCCTTGGAGGTGATCACCAGCGAGCAGCTGGCACATACCTTCCCCCGGGAACGGGGGGATGAGCCCCCGCGCCTGCCTTGCCCTGACCCTCGGATGGCGCTGCAGGCTCCCAAAACCTGGTTCAAGGACATCATGCACCTCATCAGCTCCCAAAATCTGCGGCGCGTGGATGAGTATTGCACCCGCCTCTGGTGTGGCAGGGGCCCCCCCCCCCCCCCCAAGAGGAACAGGCCGCCCCCACCACCGCAAGAGCAAGCTGGCTCAGACCAAGCATGCCCTGGCCAGCGTGGATGTGGGCAAGAAGGGACGGGTGGCCAAATCCCATGGCGAGAGGAACCGTGTGCCCCGGCAAGCGGCAGCCACTTAGAGAGGGCAGGGTAATGGACGTGGGGTGGCCATGGGTGAGGACTGGCTCCCCGTGCTGCTGGTGGCCCCAGGGGACTCCTGCCCTGGCAGGTGGCTTGCAGTGGCGCCAGCCCCATCCCTCCATTCCCCTGGCTGCGGTGGACGGGATGCCAGGGCCGGCTCCTGAGCAGGTCCCCATCACCCTCGGTGGCTGCAGAGCCACCTCTGAAGTGGGTGGTGTGGTGGGGCACATCAGCCCCACAGCTGGGTGCTGTGGTGGGTGCGGGGCCACGGTCTCGGGGGCAGGTTGGGGCTCGGCACGCGTGGTGCCATCCCCGCAGGAGCTTGCTGGCTGGCTTTCTCTGCAAATAAAGAGGCCGAGCATGGCGCCGCGGGGAGCGGCTGATTGCTCCAGGCTCTTTCCACGTGGGCACAAGACCTGGGAAAGATGATGCCTGCTCTCATGGTGGGGAAAACTGACCATCACCCCAAAAAGCCTCTGTGCCCAGGATAAGCCCTGTGGTCTGCTGTCCTCAAGAAGCCAGAGTTGTGCCGTGCCGCCCAGGCTGTGCCCTGGGGTCAGGGCTCCCTCCAACCTTCCCTGTAGCACCAGGACATGCTCAGCAGTGCCAGCCTGTGTCTGGGTGCAGCTCCCCCCTTCCCCTCTGTCCCCTCCCAGCCACAGACCGTTTTAGGGCTGGGCAGGGTCGGGGAGGAAAGCAAACGGCTGCAGGCAGGTTAGACCCGTTCCTGGGTAAACACAGGAGAGGCACTGATGCCACCGCTGTCACTATGGCCGGGCAGGAGCAGAAGGTGGCCCCAGCACAGTCTGGGGGGGCTGCACCCCAACCCGGGCATGGTTCTGGTGGTTGGTGGCCCTGCAGGGCTGGGTGGGACAAGACTGGGTTGGGGAGGCTTGATGCTGGCTGAGGGAGCTATACCAGCACCCAGGACCTCCCCCCAGTGCAGGGGTCGGGAGTAGGTGCGTGGAGAGCACCCGCAGGCTGCCGGCACCATCCCAGGCTGCCGGCAAGGTGCTCGCTTGCTTTCCTCGTGCGACATGAGCTCACTCACTCGGTCAGCCCCGGGGTGATAAGGATCTCCCCCTTCCTGAGGCAGGGCAGCCCCACACAATGGTGTGAACCGCAGCCCTGCCGGGACGAGCATTGTTCAGAGGCAGAGGAACGGGAAAGAAAAATAATAATAATAATAATTAAACCCCCTAAATAGCTCGTGCAAAGCCAGGTCATGATATCATCGCTCCTCCCTGTGTGTGTGTGTGTGTGTTTGTGCTGCAGCAGTGGAGCACCACGGTTCACTGCGGTGCCTTTGATGGGAACAAAGTCCCCTGGCAGCGCTGCCCCATCCCACAGCGCGCCCATGGAGACGAGCTCTGGGTCCCAACCCTCTTCTCCAGCTCCCCATCCCACCTCTCCTGCAAACTCACGGCACCTGCATGGGGTGTCTCCTGGGGTGGGAGGGCTGTGGTGGGGCTGGCGGGCCGGGACACGTCCTGCAGGGAGGGGAGCAGAGCCGGTAGCACTGATTTATAGGCCAGACTGGAGCCAAGCACTTGGATTTGGTTAATTGCAGGCCTGGGGGGCACAGAACGATAAGCAACAAGTAGAGACAAGGAGGGACATGGGTGTAAAGCCAGAAATAAGAGACAGAAGTCTGATTCCTCAGGGCTTGGATTTAATGGCTCTGAAGGGCTTACAACGAGCCACACCACCGAAACACCTGCACCTCAGTGCCCCTTTTCAACCCCCTGTGCTCAGCAGAGCAGGGGCTGGGCTGCCCATCCCAGGGGAGGCAGCAAGAGGGGCTCCCAAGGCCTCTGATGCATGCAGGACCTGGCTCGAGGTGAGCTGTGGCTGTGGCTGGAGGTGTCATCAGGGCCAGTGATGTTTCAATCTGAGCAGGAACAAAGGGCAGAAGAAACCAGTCCCCGAAAGGGCCTCCCTCTCCTGGTAAATCCCCATAAATTTCCATGGTTGCTGAGCTTGCCCCCCCGGGTAGGTTTACACCAGTAAGGCTGGAGTAGGAGGGCTTTTGTTGGGGTGCAAGCAGGGCTCTGCATGGCTCATGTTCCAGCCTTGCCTCTCATGAAAACCAGCCAACAGAGGCAACCTCTGCCCCTAGAAATCTCCAGGGGCTGAATGGACATGAACACATCCTCACCCACCCTGGAGGAGTAGGAGACAGATTTGGTGGGCAGGTACAGCATTGTTGTCCCCCAGTCTCCTCTGTGTGAGGGGAACAAGCCCTACCTGGGTCTTGGTGCTGCCGGCTGAGCCCTGTCCCAGGCACAAAGGGAGGGCTGGGGGACGGGGTGTGCGTGGGAACAGCCACAGAACAAAGCCATGGCAGGGGGGGGAACAGGCGCAGCCACAGATCCGGCTCCTATTTTTAGCCCACTTCCTAAGGAAGCGCAATGCAGGGGCGCCTGCTCCCCCTGGAGCCTTCCAGCCTCCGAGGTGTAAGTGGAGCTGCTGGCAAAGTGAGGGATGTTACAGTTGGCCTTCACGGGAGCCCTTGCACCTCAACATGGTGGGGCCCTGCCCCTGACAGGCCCAAGCCGAGTTCCAGGCCCAGGCCCAGGCCCGCGTCCCTCACGACAGGCCCAGGCTGAGTCCCAGGCCCAGGCCC